CACCTGGCAAATGAAAATGTTTTCGAGTTTCCACATCAGGTCCACATATAGAACTTACATCTTAATTCAAAAATAATATTAGTCTCTGCACATTCTCGAAAGCATGATAGCTGTAACAATCTGGAAAGTTCCAATTTAATAAGAGTGTACAACTCTGAAAGGAAGTTTTGGCTTTTGGATAGTATCAATAGAAGTACATGAAAGAGAAGCCCAAGCCGGACGAGACGTGCTAGAACTACGACAGTTGGCAAGAAACTCCATAAAATATTACTTATTTCTATTGAGTAAAACATATTCAGCATATCCCTACAATACCTGATATAGAAGAGGGGCATACTGCAAGTTCTTTATATCCTCTCCAGGGAAGAAAATCGGCACTGAGTAAGTCTCTGGGAGATTGCTGATGTATGGCCACCAGAACGAACCTTTCCTCGCTCTCTCTTGCAGAAGCTTCAAACCCAATTTCATAGCCCACAGCTCCTCTGCCAAATGCTCCAAGTTTCCAGTTTACTCCTTTTATTAAATACTCAAAAGCCTAATTTATAAAAATTTAGTTACCAATCTATACTGAGACAGAACCACTTTTCCTAAAAGAGATCAGAAAGGAATTTCAATGTTATAACATTTAGCCACCTAATTCGAGAAAGATATTAATTTTATTGAAAAGTGACAGAAACAGATCAACAAGAGTAAATGGTAAAGAGTGATTCGGAAAAATAGATAGTCAAGCAACCATAGTACAAACTGCTGGAAACAAGAAAACCGAACATAGTGTTTTCTATCCATCCTTTTGCTCTGATAAGATTAGAATGTCTAAGAACATTAACTGTACAAATAAGAATATGCCAACTGTATGAAGTATTATACATGTTAGCACAATCAAACATCATACAATCACCAATTACGGTCAAATCTATCGCGACAATAAGCATATTCATTTTGCTAATACTTGCTACACTGAACAAGTAGACCGATCATAGAAGGTTAAGGCAAGGGACAACATCCCCCATGGGACATGGTATCTCGCATTAAAACTGCCAAAAGAATAACATATGTTGTACTTTCTTTTCTCGCTATCATGATTGTCATTGTTTTCTAGTGTATATTTCATCGTAATCCTCTTCCGGTTCAGATGAACTATCTGCCTACAATTGAAACATTTCACTCCCCTAATAATTTAGTACATGAAGCAAAAACAGTATTCCTCCTGTTTCTTAACTAGCTCGAGGTTCCACCGTGCATCTATATATTTGACAAATAAGCCTCTCCAGTCCCCACTACAATATAGTACTTCATTTACTCCACCAAATGTCATCGCCGAAGTTAGCAGAATTGATATTCAGAACTCCCCACATCAGATACTCTACTCATTCAGATGTACAATGCACAACACAAACCAACCATAGTTAAATCCACTAATCAAAGAATCTATAACGGGACCTATCCATTTTTTCTCTTGTAGAGAAAGGCAAGCCTTTGACTCACCCTATGTGAGCTTCACAAGGCATAGTCCGTCCCTAGCCTGGATAAAGAATAATAGTTGGGGTATGTAGACTTTCAGACAGCTAAACAATAGTCTAATAATCATGAAACTTCCTATAAGATTGGACTGGATAGTGGGGAATGGATACAAAGGACTATATAGTGAACCTCAACAAATTTTTTGTTAATGCAATTGATAAAAATGAAAACTTTTTTCTATGATGGTGGTTTCCGGGTCAGCTTGCACACATACCTTGACTAGTTCCACCGACCTGCTACCTCCCACCAGCCTAGGTACCAGGTAACTCCACCACCAAGTCTTAGGTAGACAGAAAAAAAACCACCTACTAACTTTTTTATACTTCTGCTTGAATTTGAACCCGAGACCTCATGGTTCTCCCAACTTCACTATCCACTAGTTCACACCCTTAGGAGTACTACATTCTTTCAGTAAACTGAAGAGTTGTCGTGGTTCACATTCTTCACATTCAGCTTAAACAGTTGAAGAACATTCTAGTTATCACTATAACCTAAGGAAACTCAGCCTAAACAAAGCGAAACGGATACAAAAGATTATATAGAGTCGACCTCAATATCCAAATCAAGAGATGGGGTGGATCACATTTTCACATTCAACTTGAACATTTTAAGAACAATCTAATTATCATTCAAACCTATGGAACTCCGCCTAAACAAAGTGAAAAATGGATGCAAAAGATTACATAGAGTTGACCTCAAATCGTATCCAAATCGAGAGTTGTGGTGGCTAACACTACACATTTTTCTATTTGATAATTATACTGTCCAAGCGAACTTACACGCACCTCAACTATTAAAGAACAATCTAATTAACATTAAACCCAATGAAAACTAAACTTGAACAAAGCGAAATCGAGATAATGAAAAAGAGGCATAAAAAAGAAAGAAAACCCCTTACCAGGAACATGCTGAGCTAATTTAATCAAAGCAGAATGGGAATTTTCTGATTCTGAAGTAGACCCATCAAATTTGAGGGGAATATGTTGAGGTAAGGCAATAAGATCAGACCCTTTTGGGATATCTTCAGAAGCAACTAATCCAAGGCCAAAGGTATCACCTTGTGCTACTTTAATGGATTTGTGAACAAACCCACCTTCAGTTTTTACCCATTTGATTAGGTCCGGTGGTTGTGCCACTAGCCGTGATGGGTAAACGGCGGCGGCGGCGCAAGTGAGAGGACGGACGTGTGTTAAGGAGTTAGCCATTAGCATCATTTTGCTTGACATTTTTGCTGATTTGAGTGTTAAGTGTGATAGCAGAAACTCAAAGGGGGAGATAATGTTTTCCTGGACTCTTAAAAGACTAAAATAATATTCGATTTTTTAATACGAGTGAAATATATTTCTACATAAGTTTTGAGGGTAATGTTAATATTTTTTTCGATTTTGTAGGAAAATTTTTATGTTTTTATGATAGTTTGAGATTATTTACTATGCCATGTAACATATATTGAGGGTGTATCATAATTTCATTATTCAAATAAAAGATTGTTTTTATAGCTATATTCTTTCCTTGTAATTGTTTATCAAGATTTAATTAAAGTTACTAATCAATTTAACTTTTAGGTGCATAAAAAGGAAAAAATTAGCAAGCATCTTTTTATATATACAATACAATATAAAAGACAAAACTCGAATAGATTATTTTGAGTGATTTTCATCGCAAATATTTCAATGTTAATGAGTTCGAAAAGAAGATCAAGGATGGATGAACAATAGATAAAGACAAAGGAAGAAGGAAATGGAAAAAATATGTGAGAATTTCGACTCATAAATTTATATTTGGTAATTAAAAAAATAAAAATTTATGAACAATTGATAGATTAATCGATCATCACAAGCATAATTTTAATGTTACTTTTAATTATCAAAATTGAACTTTAAAATATCGAATCGCACGATTAACGGTACATTAAACCACTAACATAATTTCTAACAAAATCAAATCAAATCTCTACAATTATTTTCTTTTTCCGATCATCATAACTTTAAATTCCTCAAAATCAATCATCCCGTCGCCGTCACAATCAACGCCGCCGATCATTTTCCGGCACTCATCCAGCGAGCATTCTTCCCCAATACTCTTCATCACTTTCTGCAACTCTTCAGCAGAGATCGATCCATTTTTATCCACATCAAATACAGAAAAGGCATCCTTCAAATTCTCCATAACTTCATCGGAATCGATGTTCTTCGTGTTAAGCTCGATGAATTCACGCAAATCGATGAATCCATCTCCGTCCCCATCGACTTCGTTAATCATTTCAATCGATTCTTCCTCTGTTACAGCGGTTCCTAAACTTGCCATGATGAAACCCAGTTCCGAAAACGAGATTTTTCCGTCGCCGTTGATGTCAAATTTGTTGAATACGTGTTGTAGCTCCTCTTCTATCATGACCGGAGTGTTCACCGGCGGGGAATTCGCCGGCGTTGGGTCATTTTTTTTCTTCCGATTGAAAAGAGATTTAATTAATCCCATTTACTAATCGAAAAATAAGTAGTAAATTAGGGAAGATTTATGAGGATTATAAAGAGATTAATTTGAAAAAATTATTTTGGGTTTTTGTTTAAACGGAGAGAAGCTGCGTGAGTGCACGATGAGAATCATGCCGTCCGTACCTACCGGCCATGTCGGACATGTGAATACGAGATGTAAGTATACGTTAATATAAAAATGAAAGAGATAAGAATTGATCTATAAAAGATCAAGATGTATTACGTGACGTTATCGGAAAAAATATATAACATATGCCGTGTGTTCTTTAATGTTTTATCTTTGCTTTTACATCTTTATCGTTTTTGTTTTTTCAAACTGTTTTCATAATGTTTTTACTTTGAATCGAGATCAATCTATCAAAGACAACTTTCTAAATTATCTCTAAACTCCATTTGTTAGATTACATTTATTTTGTATGATACTGTGTTAGAATAATTTATCATTTATATTTGATTATAAAAAAAAATAAAATTATATGAGAATTGATAAATTTAAAAGCGTTTTAAATCTATTTTCATTTCTATCTTCATAAATTTCAAATAATTAAAGTGTTCTTCTCTCTTATTTTAAAAAGTATAACTAAACACAATTTCTTCCTCGATTAGCTTCGATTACTATATTTTAAATAAAATAAAAACAAATATATTTGAATCTATGACCAAAATGTCTACTAAGCTAAATATCTCAATAATATCACTAAATTTGAGGTACACTATAATAAATGGTTTACATTTATTATGACCTACAAAATATGGATCATAACAAAATAGAAAACTTGGCCTATGAGATGTGTCATATAATAAAAAAAATAATATATCTAATTTTTGTGTTATTGCATTATTCCTATGCTGATGCGATATTCGACTAAGCATATTTGATATTCATTAAAGTAATATATGTATTTTTGAAGCTTTAACGAATGGAATTTAAACACATATTGTTTAATTGACTATCGAATATATTTTGACGAATATCACAAGTACTGAAAGTATGATCTTCGTTATAATATATAGATTCGTTCATAAAAATTCATTTTCGCTTTAAAGCAACAAATAATTGGCATGGTTTTCCACCATTAGCTTTCATCCATGTTGAAATCTCTTCAGCTTTAAGAAGAGTTCTTTCACAAACTTGTTCTGCTATTTTACTCCCAAAATGATTGATGAGAAGCCCTTCTAAAACAGCTCTTAGGTTTATTATAAAAGTTTTTGCATCAAAATCATCCACAAGCTTTGATTTAGGATGTGTCAACTCCATTTTCTCTATGCTAAAACATCCATTTTTCTCCACTACTTTAGTCATGTCTTGTGGAGAGGGAAAATACATTGGCAAATTGAATGAGTCTACTAGAGATTCATCTAACTTTCCCTATGTCAAAAAGAAAGAAACTTCAATTACAAATGTGTTTAGAAAAATATAAATTGAAGAATAAGATGAGTTTGAGGCATCAAGAAAATCACTTTCGTTAAGGAGATATTGTCACGATAAATACTGGTGAATATATAAGCAGTTCCCTTCTGGATACGACAAAACCCTTGTATATATATACCTGCGTATCTTTCTTAGGCTACTTCTGAAGCGTCCTTATATTTATCGTACTTATTAAGAGATGACTTTCATAACGGTCATGTTCTTTTATGAGCACGTGATTTTTTTCGAACAAATGAGTCTGTTTAATTTAAGACCTCTACAAAATATAGTGCGTACACAACCTTATTTCTACAGCATAAACACTGGATCAAGTAAAGATAGATATGACTCACCTCATTTACCAAATCCATAAGACTAGAACCGAAAAATTCCACGAGACGTATATAGCTTGAAAATGGTGAAATAAACACCATCATTCCTCCTTGGACAATCTCCTCAGCTCTTGCATTAAAGAAAACTTCCATGTCCTTTTCAAATTGAGCAACATAAGCTTTGACTACTTCACTATTTGATGTACCATAGTGAATCAATCCTTTATTCCATGATGGAGATTTCTCATCTAACAATTCTTTTGGAACCCTAGATAACCAATGTATAGAAGTAGAAGCATGTGCAAAATGTATCGATCGCGATGGAAATAATCTACCATGAAATGATCCTGGAACTCCAGATGCATAGTAGGATCGATCCATAGGTAGTGATCGAAAAAGAGTGTTGAAATCGTTATCGATATGATCACTAAAAAATACTTGGAATTCAAGGTTAATATTGTTGTATTTTTCCTTTACAACATCTACAACATGTTGCATTGCATGGAAAGTATTTGGTCCAATTGAACATCCCAAATCTATTATACGAAATAATTTTGAAGAAGAGAACATAACTTCAACATCAAGTTTTCCAATAATTGCCTCTCTCACCATCTCCTTTGAAGCATCTATAATTTCTTTCTACATATATATATATATATATATATAATCATAAAAATTAATAAATTTTGTTACTAAATTGAAGAAATTAAATTAATTTAATACCTGTCGTTGGGAGTTATTGAAGTAGCTATAAGCACTATTACCATCATTCATGGGGAAAGATGTTGTCATTTTGGCTAATATTCTTCTTCACGTTACACAGATTCAAAATTTGAAACTTGTTACGAATTTTATATTTTATAAATTAATTTTATGAGATAATTACAAAATTTGAATCGAAGATACTGAGTTCTGATAACATTTGTTACTTAATTTTATTACTACATATATTGTTATAATCTTTTAGCATCCCTATTTATCTATGTTATTAATTTGACCATGTATATTCTAGTCCCAATAAGATCCTCTTTTATCGAACTGACTTAAAGGGCAAACCATTAAAACAAATTGGTTAGGCAAAAATTTCTATATATTGTTTATTAATGAAAAATTATTGGCTCTTTTTTTTTAAAAGAGAATCAATAAAAATACCAAATAAAAGAATCAAACATAACATTTAATACTAAAATAATATAGTAAGATGTATAAAAATTACGAGTCTACAATAAGAGTACATTAAATATATCACATCACTCAATCGAAATGACTATATAATATATATCATCATAAAAGTTCATTTACATTTTAAAAGATAAATAATTAACATGCTTTCTTATAATTTATTTTCATCCAAATTGATATCTCATTACTTTGGTAAAAGCTTCTTTTGCTATTTTTAAAATGATTGATGAAAAGTCCTTCTAAAACGGCCCTTAGGTTCATGATTAAAGTCTTTGCATCAGCCAATAGGCTTGTGTTTATTTCACAATTTTTTTAATTTTTATTTATATCTTAGAGCTTATAATTAAGTTAAGGTAATATTGATATTTTTATTTTAGAGCTCATAATTAAGTTAAGATAATATCGATGCACGCAAAGTCTTTATATTATAGGTTCGCTGGTTATTTGAATTTTCTTTCATAGCATGAATAAATATTAAACAAGTTGATGACTCAGATTTTGTTGGTTCGTTTTGGTTCACATGTTAGTTATATGAATTGTCATGCAAGTTGTTTATAAGTGAATAATAGTTATGAATAAATTATATGAAAAGATAAAAAGTTGTATGTTAGGATTTTTCATATGAAAGGTATTTTTAAAAATAACAGATATTATTGTTATAGATTTTTAAAAAAAAATGTTACAAATAGGTTAAACATAACATAATACATTGATTTAAAAAAAAATTACTTTAATATATAGCGAAGTGTTGTTATGAGGGTGATTGTTATTATGTTATTAAACATCGGAACTTTGATCATCTTATTTTGATTAAATGTCTCATTTTTGTGTAATTAAATTAAAAAATGAAATTGTTTATACTTTCTTATTTTTTTAAATTGTAAATACTTTTACATGTCTAATAATATAGATATTGTCTAAAAAAATCGAAGTCACAATTCTTTGTTATATGACGAATTAATTAGTACCATCAATTTATTATACAATAAAATATCATAATCTAACTTAAAAGTATATATTATATATATTTTTTATAATATTGGATTATTATTATATATTATTTTCAAGATAAAATATCTTTCTCAGGACTATTTTTTTTAGCCACCATTTCTCACCGTGGCCATACAAAGTTTTAAACTCTAGATAAGCACGTGCATTAAATGGCCAAATTTCTTTTTGGCATGGTGATGATATATGAAAGTGCTTTTTTTTATTTTAATTAATATTTATATTTTTTAAATTTATATCAGTATAAATGGATGTGTTTTGGATTATGTTTTGTGTGCTATTTCAGATAAAATATATATATATATATATATATATATATATATATATATTTA